ATCATAAAATCAAAACAGGAACCAAGACTCAAAAATATTAGTTCTGTATTTCTCAAAATTCTATTTAAGATACCATTTTGTATAAAATCCTGTGAAAGTTATTATCACCAAAATTAAATTGACTAAATAAATAAACTTGCTTTTTAAATCTAAAGGAGTAAGGTATACTGCAAGTGAGAAGCAAGTGTCCAAAGTTTTTATCAGTTACATGAAATTGCCAAAGTGAAGCCTTATTTTCCTCCTAAAGACCTAGAAAAACTCATTCATGCATCCATCACCTCTAGACTGGACGTCTCTCTATTTAAACAGCCATCACCCAGCGCCTGCAGTTAGTCTAACACTTGTCTTTTAACAGTATGTATGAACACATCACTCAGGCTTTACACTGTACATTATCGTACTGATTTTAAGATTCTTATAAGATTCTAATTATACATAACAAAAATGACAAACTCAGAATTTACATTTAAAGAAAAGTAACTGCAAAAAACAACAGGAGCCCTTAGAGAGCCCCGAAGGGCGAGGGCTACACAAAAACACTGACGCTTATACTGAGATGGAAATCTGGTGTAGTATATTCATCTTTTTGTGTCATTGTGAACTCATTTAATGTGTATTGAAAAAAAAATGTTTCAAAGAGCGCAAAGAAAGTGCTTATAACCCCTAATAACTAATATATCACTTAAAAGTTTGGATATGATCCTTTGGAAACTAAAGCTTTATCCTAAATGTTATGACCCTGACTTTGTACCTATACATAAGGTGTAGTTTATAATCTTTAACCATTTGTATGGAGCAGATTTTGGCTTTTATGAGCTAAAAGAAAACCTTGAGATCCTCTTGAAATTTGAAGCTCAAGGTCAGATGCTTAGCCGGACTAGGTACTTGTGTCCCCCAAGGCCTAGTATACGTTTGAAAATGCTTCACAAAAAATTGTGAGTAATAAGTTTTCACTGGCAAAAAGAAATCTGCCTGTGCTGTTCTTGGTATCTACCCTCACACACAATTTGAACATACTTTGAAAACTGTGGCGACTCGACAGATGGACAGACAGACAGTTGTTGGGCTGAATCAGACAACCCTGAACCATTCTTTAGTTGTTCTGCTGTAGGTTCGCGCTGCTGGTTGACTTCCCATGATGCACTGAAAATGTCTTCCCCTCTTTTCTCTCCCAGTGCGTTTATTCACACCACCGCTGCACGGCAATGTTTGTCTGCTGCCACAGTCTGCGTTTTATCCAAGATCTCTCTAAGCGGTCCTTTTCTCTCCTCTCTCACCTCTAAACTGGTCAAGCTGGATGCTGAGCCTGGGACAGCTAAAGGTCCTTCCTGTTAAAATCGAGTTCCTCCTTCCCACCAAGTGCTGTGCTTAAAGGTTCGTTTGATCATTTGGCTCGTCTATTTCATATTGTAGGGTCTTTACAATATAAAAAGCCAAAGGAAAACTTTAAAGTGGTGCTATAGAAATAAAACTTTATTGAATTTCTTATTGAACGTAAATGATATTATTAAAATATTTAGAAAAAGGAAAATTCACAATTCTTAAGTCTTTTTTGACTGAACTTTTACCCATTTTCAGACATTAATTTTTAACATCTGCTGGTGATACTCAAAATGTACTTACATCATCACATGAGCTCAGTTTTAATGCAAAACTGGATTAAGATTGAGTGTGAGGAAAATGTGAGTCGTTTTTGTGGAAAAACATATCAAATAACGATCTTATAGAAAACAAGAAAACTGCAAAGACATGTGTGCAGTTTGAAAAATTGCACATAAACGTCAGTCAGTGTTTGGCAGTCAAACTAAGAATAAAGGCTAAAAAACCTAAAAGAAACCTTTAAAAGAGAGATTTTTTTTAAAGCTAATACATTTTGGTTTCAATCATCCAACTGACTGATGACCACTTTGCACATCACGTACCATTAACCAAATGATGATAATGAAAAAACATCAGCATGACAATATCAATCACATTATTGTCATTTCTTTTTTCTGACACACGCCTGTTGTTAAATTTTTTTAAAAAAAATGGAAATTGAGGTTTGGCCATCAAAATGATGGTTCTCTACTTCAAGAGAACCATCAAATCCACTTTTTATCAAATTAAATATTCTCAAATTTAAAGATTTGGTTGACCTCAGAACTGCGCAAACAATGTACAAAGCAGCAAATAAATCTTTGCCCCACAACATTCAGAACTTGTTCCAAATAAGACCAAATACTCCTGACCTGAGAGGAATCCGTATGTTCAGCAAGCCAGTAGTAAGGACAAATGTAAAATATCAGAGCATTACAGTCAGAGGAGTTAGTGTGTGCAACACCTGTACAGATGAAATCAAGACAAGTACATCAATACAAAAATTCACACGATTGTTCAAAAAAAATAAATTGCATGAATATAGGAAATCTTCCTCTCAGTGACTGAGTTGTCTCATTGTGTGTTTATTAAGGTGTTTGTCACATAGATATAAAACAAGCTCAGAGATTAAGCGGGTGTTATAGACAGGGTGATTAGTTTATGTAAAAAATGAAGTTTGTTGTTGTTCGGGTTTACGTGCTGAAACTGGTTTTTATTTGTGTATGTTCAACGTGTTAGACTTGTACATAGTTAACCATGTATGATCAAATAATGTTGAATAATGGATATGGATTTGTAAGCAATGAAATTTGAAATAAGGGGGTAGGAACAAGAAAAGTGTAAACGTCATCCTACTCCTTTTCGAGCACATGCATTCTGTAGACAAAGATATATACATGAAAACTTGATGATTTTTAAGTTTTGTTGTTGTTGTTTTTCTGTTGTTATTTCAATTATATTTGCATGTTCGAAATAAAATTATATCTATCTATCTATCTATCTATCTATGAAGCACACTGACTGTGTTTTACAGCAATGTAGTCAACAGGTTTGCCACACCTCGGTGCGCGTTGTTGTTTTAACCTTTTTTATGTGTAATCGTTCTGGTTCGGCTGCATTTTTTTCCGAGGTATCTGAGTAATGCACGATGCACATGCAGCACTTCACAACAAGACTTCCAGCTTTAACAGGTAAGATTTTTTGGTTGCTAGTAAAAATGGAAATTTATCATCAAAACAGTGAGAGGTGTGAGATTATATCAAACAGCTAGAACAGAGAAGAAATCATTTTTATCGTATTTTAAAAATATATATTTTCCGAGTTGTAAAAAGCTACGTTTGGAAGATGACTTGTTAATGCCTACAAAAGCTTGCAGATCTAACATAAAAATGATCTGTTCTGGCTGAAAGATGTAAACTAATGTAATCATTCTGGTCTTTTAACAAACATTTATGGTCACTGAGTATTTTAAAAACATGTTTATTATTTCTAACTAATGTTTTGTAACTGATGCACGGTGGCACTGTGTCGAGTTTATGTTTTTTTTTCTCCTTCTGTAAAAGTTATATTTTTAAAGTGCATACAATTCTAACTCAGCTCTGTAAATCATTCATGAGTCAAACAACTAGTGTTGTGTTTTGCGCCAAGTGGGATTGCACAATCGTGTAATTTCCTTTTCCCACACTGAGCTACCTCGCCCTTGTTCTTGATACAACTGTGTGGCTTCCAGGTAAATGCATTGCTTAGGTGTGGTTAACAACATGGTAAAAGATTTCATACACACAGCTTAACACTACCCAATGTTGCTGTTAACAAATCCATTTACTGATTGCACTGCCTTTGTTGCGATCTAAGAGTGGTTAGATCGCCTGGCTTGCCGCCCGGCTCACAATGCACCCGACCCCTACGGCACCTCCTGTGGGTGGTGGGCCTGCAGGAGGATGGGCCCATGTCCCCTTTTCTGGCTGTGCCCAGCCAGCCCCATTGACTCACCCTTGGGCACCGTCCCCAGGCCTGGCTCCAGGGTGGGGCCCCAGTTACCCTATCCCAGGCAGGGTGAACTGTTCCCTTGATGGTCTTGTCATAGGGATCTTCTGAATCGCTCTTTGTCTGGTCCCTCACCCAGGACCAATTTGCCATGGGAGACCCTATCAGGGGGGCAGAAACCCCCAGACAACATAGCCCCTGGAATCCCTGAGACACACAAACCCCTCCACCACGATAAGGTAGCGATTCGGGGAGGGGATCTTCTCACCCTATCTCCCTTAGAAATAGGGTGAGAAGTTTGGCCATCCGGGAGGGGCTCAGAGTAGAGCCGCTACTCCTCGACATCAAAAGGAACCAGTTGAGGTGGTTCGGGCATCTGACAAGGATGCCTCCTGGGCGCCTCCTGGGTGAGGTGTTCTGAGCATGTCCCACCGGGAGGAGGCCCGGGGCAGACCCAGGACATGCTGGAGAGATTATATCTCTCAGCTGGCCTGGGAACGCCTTGGTGTTCCCCCGGATAAGCTGGAGGAGGTGGCTGGGGAGAGGGAGGTCTGGGCTTCTCTGCTTGGGCGGCTGCCCCCACGATCCGGCCCTGGATAAATGGAAGAGGATGGATGGATGGAGGGCTGAATTATTTTAGTTCACTAATTCTAGGAGGTCAGAGTTCAGAGTTGTGATGTCATCAGTAAGCGCAGAAGAAGAAAAAACAGTGTTTGAGAGCATTGTTTGGTGATGATATGCTCTGCTGCCTGTAAACTCCAAACCTGAAGTGAGGAGAATAAAGAGAATGGAGTCAAGTCTCTGTGACTGTGCCACACTTAGATATCACTCATCAAAACAACACAGTCAAAGTTGCATTTATTGTATGCAATACTATGAGGTCATAAATATTTGGTCTTCATACAAATGGAATAGCTGTCAAGCTGGGATTTAAAGATTTATTTTTATAGAGATTTGCCTTTGGTCCATCCCAGTAATTCTTCTATTCTTCCTACTCCTTTTTAACTTGCAAGCATATTCACTTAGTGTACATTAGATACCTTTTGGTGTTCAATTCAATTCAATTTTATTTATATAGCAAGAGCAGTTGCTTCAAGGTGTTTTGTACTGTAAAGCAAACGACCCTAGAATAATAGAGAGAAAACCCCAACAATCAGATGACCCCTGTGAGCAAGCACTTTGCAACAGTGAGAAGAAAAACTCCCTTTAAACAAGAAATCTCCAGCAGAGCTGGGCTCAGGGAGGGGCAGCTACCTGGGTGTGAGGGAAGTCACATGACATTTAGAAAACAAAACTTGTTCTTTGTCTTGTTAAATCAGCCTCTTAATGAGGAATATGTGCTAAAGGTGAAGGTTTTGCATTAGGTGTTCTTGCTTGGTACTGATTTCCATGTATTAACAGGTACAGTAACCAGTCAACAACAATGACAGCCAACTGGAATACTAGCCTCTTTGGCTGTTGTGACGACATAAAATCTTGTAAGCAACCAAAATTTATTTTTATTTATATTTATCATCATATGCTGCATTTAGATAATGTACTAAAACATAAATAAACAAATATTATTTCCAGGCTGCTATGGTTTCTGGTGTTGCCCTTGCCTCGCCTGTACCGTTGCAGGAATGTTTGAAGAGAACCGCTGTCTCCCATTATGTGACATCTGCAGCCCCGCTGTGTTATCAGCCTTTGGGATACCACTGTTTGTGCCTCCTGCTGCCTTGGGTCTGAGGGTTGGTGTTCGACACAAATATGGCATCCAGGTACAACCCTATAACACTTATTAATACAAATATTATTATGACAGATGTTTTTTAGGCTCCCACTGGTAAATTACTAACTAACAAATGGTACAAGTAGTAAAATGAGTATAGTTACAGAATATTTCTCTACAGGGTTCTATCTGTAAGGACATCGCCACTTCCTGTGTCTGTATGTGGTGCACATGGTGCCAGTTGCATCGCGAGTTAAGAATTCGCAAACACGGCACCCAGGTCGTCAACATGCAGCCCACACCCACTGGGAAAAATTGAGAGTTTGTTATGGCTTCGTGCTGAGGTTGCTCCTCGTTGGTGTGATCTGTCCTCTAAGATCAGTTATGTTTGGTCTCACCAAACTAATTGATATTTGGTTATGACGGTCATGCTTTTGACCTTTTTTTCCCCCTCTAAGGATTTCTGCAGTGATACACTCAAGACAAGCATCGTATGTTTTATATATGCATGGTTTTCATTGCCTCTCTGAGCTAGCTCGTGACATGTAAGTTAATTATTTTAATGCTACAATAATAATGATCATGACAATTGAGAAACAGATCAATGACCCTCAAACACATCTACAAAATAAAAGTGAACTCTAAGTTCTTAAATCTCTGTGTGAATCTGTAACTTTTTTTAGACATACTAACTTTGTATATGTAAAAGTATCTCTAACAAAATTCTGAATAAATTCGTCCATCTAACCCAAAAGTCCTGTTACATGAAAAACAAAACATGTTGTAAACAAGATCAGCCCACAGTCACGGGTAATGTTGTCGTAATGTTATGCAAATGTGAAAAATACCTAAATGGAAATGTTCTATTTCAATACTTTTTCTAAGAGAT